AGTAAGCACTCTTATTTTTCTCCATTGGTCAGATGTCAAGATTGTTTGCTCTTCAAGCTGAATGGTTGTAGTTCCTGAATCAAATATGAATATGCAACCTGGTGTATACTTCGTACAGCTGCTTGAAAAACAATGCAATTACCGAAAATAGTTTCTTAGATGGGATGTTTTCCCAAGTGGAGGCACTTTATTTGTCAAAGTGGAGAGCAGCTATTGGCGGAAGCGGGAACTTTGCGGGGGTGAATGTGCCAGTCAAGCGCCCATAAGAAATCCGTGTTATTGGATGGGTTGGACTAAAACTTTTAGGAGGTTGCGGGGAAAGAGCATCATGGGTGATGAACCGCAAGGACAGAACGTTTTTAGATCTTACGTCGCAAATTTACAATTTTAAATTTGCCCATAGCGGAAAAGGCTCTCAAAAAGAAACCGTTAGCATCCCTAGATCCTGACCTCAAGGGCATGTACGTACATAGTTCAACATCAGTTGGAGTGTCACCAAGCCAGCTGGGAGTATTCGTTTCTTTCCAGCCGTTATGATTCTCAATCCTTGAGAATGAAGATAGAGAATGAACATGTAAGCGGAGACAGGGTCGTGAGCTGAACTCGCGCCATATCGCATCTAGTGGTGCTGCCCGTTGTACTCCCCTCAAATCTACAAACTAAATCCAAATGTTCATAAATATGGTAAGGAAGCGAACTACTGAACTGGGCTTGTCCAATGTCTCTTGCTATATTGAGTCGAAAACGGGTACGAGGCTACCCGAGTGTAGTATCTCTTATTACAATAACATGTTTTTCAAAATTCATGTAAACAAGTGAACACCTTTCCAAAAAAACGAAAAGACTTTTGCATCACCCCAATACAATGGACGTGTCATCTCCTTATAAGTCGAAATGTAGACTCCTCACTATATCGACAATGGTGATGATGCCGATCAGTTGGTCAACTTTTCGCTTGAATTCCATAACGTTCCATCCTCCGCACGCCCTCGGCCTTAAATTGAAGCTATTATAATGTTTCTGCGGAGTGTCTCGATTATCACATTCACTGCCATGCACACTTCAAAAATTCTGCCTAAGACTCTGCAACCTTAGCCTAACGCGCGAAGCATACAAGTCTTTTTCGGTCATAAGCTAAGAGATGCGTGAAAACGGCATTTTCCGTGACTGGCAGTAAATGTCTGAAGTTGAGGTCATCCGGGGTGCACTCCGTGGGAATGTTTTTCCCTTCCAGGATTTTCACTGGACACGTTCTCCGACGTTAGCATGCCATTCGAACTTTGTTGACATCGACTCCCTATCGCGCTTGGCTTAACTTTACAATTACTCCCACACCCCTAAGACAAAAGACAAAATGAATACGAGAGCCATGTATATCTTAATATGGATAAACTATCACCAAATTTTCCCTAGCGGCGCATGCGCGTTTTTTCGCACAAGGAACGTTGCAAATTAGTTGCGCAGCTGGCATTGGGGCAACCAGAGACACGGTAAATATACCTAGACTGGACAGGCCAATGGTGAACGGCAGGCAGCCACACGCCGATTAGAAGGGTCAGCCGCCATCGCTCATGGCGTCAAATCGACCAATAAACGCATAGCTTTTCAATTCATGACGTCACACTACACTAAGTTTTGACGCTCTCCACGACCAGGTCGGCCTAGGCCTAGACCTACCCGGTCCTTCACTGACCAAGTAAGGTATTTTGACAATTGATTAATGCTACCTATTCCGTCTTTATTTTCATTGCACTCAGTAACGAGACGGTGCCTCATCAGTTTCCCATGCAGTTAGGCTCAGGGTCAACATGAGGATTTGAAAATTCCGCCACACCTAAGGTAAGACCCCGCAAAAGGGTCAATAGTAATCAAACCCGATTCATCATTGTAAGACGTGATACCTAACCCAGTCAGTGGTCTTTCATAGCATCCGGATCCTGAACACATTGACCATGACTACCGTGCGCCTCAGTGAATCCCAGGCCTCCTCGTCTCCTTGACGCCATCAGTAATGGCCGCCAGCCCTTCAAATCGGCGTGAGAGCTTCGACCGCCAAATCCAGTCTAGGTATATTTACCATGTTTCTGGGGGCAACCTGGTGCAGCCAACATGAGCCACATGACGTCACATCAGCGTGTGCTCCAAGTCGCGCATGCGCAATGTGCACTTTCGTCTGCTAGTTTGCACATGCCCAAAGCCGTCGGGATTCCATAGGGGAAGGTGGGTCTGCCTTAGAGGAGACCTGCGTTTTTCACAATTGCTGCTTGAGCATGTTCTTTCAGGTACTTTGGCTGTGACGAACGACTAACTTTTCATGTCTTCTCAGTAAAACATACACACGCACGTTCGCTCACCTCACTCCCTCACTCACTCACACTCTCTCCTGGCAAAAGGCGTGAACAATGTTAAGTGACCCCATCAGGTTGAGATCGAGTTAACTGGGCGAATATAGTACATTCTCTATGTTCTCCTTCCTTAGGATATTATGTAAGTGATATTTAACTCGCATTTAACTAACTTAGTTACTTCTTAATTCTTGTCTGCAATTATTTACTTTTATTCCTTTGAGAAGTATGTGAACGCCGTTCTCATGAAGGAGGAAATCCCGTGGACTTGTCTATTTAGATTTCGCGAAAGCTTTCGATACAGTTCCTCACAAGAGGTTGCGGGCTAAATTGGAGGCGCACGGGATCCAGGGTAAGACGAGGACTGGATTAGGAACTGGTTGGAGGCAAGAGAGCAGCGAGTAATGGTTCATCAAAAATTCATGGTGAGGTGTCGACGTAAGTCAAGGTTGCAAGCGGGGTCCCTCAGGGCTCGGTCCTGAGGCCACTTCTTTTTCTTGTCCACAGTATATTAACGATTTGGATGAAGGCATAGCTAATAAAACAAGCAAATTTGCTGACGACACAAATATAGGTTTTTCCTATCAAGGGGCAGGACAGAGCGAGAGCCGAGCAGGATTTAAGCTATTGGACGAGTGGAGTAAGAAATGGCGCACGAGGTTTAATAAAAGTAAGTGTAATCATATCGGTCGTTGCAACGATGAGTCTGAGTGAATTCGGCGTCGACAAGCTCGAGGAGGCAAACGGAGAGATATTTAAGTATAGCTAACCCTTTCATGCCACCCCCTACTTCCGTATGGTACCATTTACGGCCAAAGTATACTACACCAATTTTATTCTGACCCCATGTGCTAGAATGGAAGAACCTCCTTCATGGATGTGATGAGCAGAGGGTGAGCATTCTCCTTCAAGGCATTCCTGCCTTTTCAGAGGTAGGGGGAGAGGAAACTAGACAGCAGAGACGAACTTTCTTTCTCAACTTCGGCACAGAATGAACGACTAATCAAATCAATCATCTATTCATTTAAATAATAGCTTCATTCTCTGGTCCTATCTTCACATTCATTTCATTTACAATGGCGCTCAGAAGCATTTGCACACTTGCCGTTTTGCACATACCTGCAGGAATTTCCTCATTTCCTACGGATGACGTATATTTACGTCGTGGGACTTAGCGCCTGGCTGAGGCTGGAATAATACCGATGGGATGCTGGACTAGCTCAGTCAATCCCGTGGTCAAGGGGTTAAGACATTACTTGAAGTATCAATTATGGAGATTTATTCAAAGCTAATTTATTTTTCTTTACTGTAAGAAGACTAATGTATGTTCAGGGTCATTCTGTCTTCCACTGTTAGAATATCACTTAATATTTAACATGAGAAAAACATTGGAGTTGAAAGACTTGGGAGTGGGTCAAAAAGGAAAAAATCGCAGCAACTAGTTATGCTCCTTTCTCGTCGAGGATCAGCTCAGTCCAGTTTCATCGATTGGAGAAAGGCAAAAGCCAAAGCATAAACTCTCGTACGAGGAATCCATTTACTTCGAAGGTCTACATGCTTGCTGTTGTTCGATTGACGCAAATATCCCTTTCCTTCAAAGGGGTGGAGATCCATTGATAGACCCTGTCCGGACGCAAAGCAAAAGTTCCATGCACTTGTCACTGACAGCTCAGAGAACAGGGGTTATCCTGAAAGTCATTCTTTCTATGTCGAGGTTGGGAAAGAGAATTTTTCACGCTTAGTTTTTTCATGCTTCTCCTTAACTTCCACCCGTCTGAACTCGACTTCCTTGAGGGGGAAATGCTCACCCTCCACTCACTACTTCCATGAAGTCTTCTTCCTTTCTTGCACATGGGGTTAGAATCAAATCGCTTAGGTATATTCTTCCCCCAATTGTCCTCCCACTTCCGTCAATGCATGGTCTGGCAATCACTATTTTTTTCCACTCTCTCCCTCTCTCTCCCTTTCACGCTTCCATGACAAAATACCTTAAATGCAGTACTTTGTTTTATGCCATGTGAAGGGAGGGAGTCATGATTCATGAATGGCTAAAAGAAAAGGCTGTGCGCTAAGTCAAGCAATTTTCAACAACAGAGAGGTGATAGTCAGCAGGAGTGAATCCAATGAAAACGGTACCATTTGGAGGCAGAAAATACTAAAATTATCATTTTTTTCATAAATGAAGAAATAAAGTGCACGAAAGAAGGGCACCAAAAGATGTGCATGAAAGTGCACGAAACTAAAGAAGTGCAAAAATCAAAAAAGTACAGAAGACGACCGGACGCGAAGAATCTGTTCAGCAGGAAGGATTCTAATATGTCAAAATAAACCTTGATAATTACTTCTCCTGTTGAAGGTGTTAGGACAGTCGGAAATGGAAGACCGATGAAGAGCTGGGAGTTGGGGAAGAGTAATGCCAGAGGAAAGTCACACCAGGTCCACCATGCCATCAACCATCAGGTCTCTAGATGCGGGAGGGAGTTGCATATGGGTGAAGAAAAAGGAGAGGAATTCAACGATTTTCCGCCTCAATGGATCTGAGTGCTTATCGGGCTGCACCAAAGAATGTCCGGAAATTGGACCGCTTCCAACACCTGGATGCGGTTCGCCAATCATTCCAAACCCATGTTATAGAAGTGAAGCGGCAGGCCACGGTCCATTTAAACAGCCCTCCATGGATGAATCCCACTTTGGAAATGGTTGAATCAGAGATCAGTGGAGCTGCTGTCATCCTCGGTGTCTTCCTCGGGGTTTTCACTGTCCTGAAGGGAGAAAAAAAACAGTCCTATGAATGTCGAAAGCCATGTACATTTATAGGGTGACCCAAAAAGGGGCACTCTTTAAACGTGCATTTTAGGTGATACTTTCATGGATATATTTTTCCGGTTACATTTCATGGAAAGAAGAAAGACCTAGCTACAAAATCCTTTTTTCAGACTTGAAATATTTTAAACAGTGACTTAAAAATTAATTTTTACATTTTGGTTATGAGAATTGGGCGCTGCACCCTCTGGCTTCACCTAAAATGCGCATTGAAAAAGAGTGCCCTTTTTTAGGGCCACCTTGCAGGTAGGAAACACGGAGATGCAACTCACAGTTAGGACACCGAGGTATTGTAGCATCCACTTCTCGTCATCTACCATATCCAAACTGGGATGCCTTCTGCCATCCTTGAAGAGGGCAAAAGCATCATCCATGAAGCGCTTGAAGATGTCAAATTTCTCTTGTTTTAACTTACGTAAGTACATACATTTTGCTAAATGCCCCACAAAGTGAGCCTTCTTACTCGAATAATCTGGCAAACTTACCTTGGCGTGCCGCCACATACCTTCAATGGTGTTCGTATGGGTCGGTGGATCAGTGCTCTGATTGACGAACTCTAGTTTGTGGTTCACCGTCAGGTGTTTGAAAGCCTGGGATTTTGAGATGTCATTATATGCAGCCCAACAGTCATAATCAATGTCCCAGGACAAACCCAGATTCGAATGAGGCGGAGTAGCGTCTCTGAATTCCTCTCTTTGAAGGGAACAAAGAAACACCTTCCTGTTCCTCGCTCCACGCCCCGCGAAAAACCCATTGACCCTCGACGTGGTGGCCTCGCTGGTATTTTCTGCGGCCGAACTTACTTTCGTCTAACTCCACGATTTTCCCCTCTCCACCGATCCTCTCCCCTTTCCAAATGCATTCCTCAATGCATACCAGCGATAAAGGAGACTTATATACACCCAAATATATGAGGAATGTCGTGACATGCGTGTAGAAAGTCGCACCTCTCTATAGAAGGAGACCCAATCCACGACTGTCCTGGAGGAGACTCCTGTCTCATGAGTGATGTACTCCAGGGGCAAGTCATGAATCCAAAGATGAATGATATGCAAAATTTCGATTATTCTTAAATTTGAATTTTGAAAGAAGGAATCCTTCCTGACCGATACAAGCTCATCGCGTCTGGTTTTCTTCTGTCTCTTCTTTGATCCACTCGTCCTGGTGGAGGAGGAGGTCCTTCGGCATCTGAACGCGACCCAGTCACTTATTTTGGAAGCATTTATAATTATCATATGTTCCCCTAACTTGGGGCACGCCCTCACTCTGTGCAGCCATCCATTTTCAATAAGGAGTTGGACCAGGTCAGGAGCTGTAATACCATCGTCAGAGGATTAGATTGATTCTTCAATACATCCATTAGCACGTTACACCATGAATGAAATTAGGCAGAACCGTTTCAGCCTCGGGACTGTTTGACATACAGTAGAGGTCTCTTGTGGATCAAGTAAAAAATATAGCTCTCATCTTTTTAAGTAAAAATACTTGTGCCAAAACATGTAAAACCATCAAACACGATGCTTACTATTATGACTACCAATACGGTTTGTGGTAGTGCCTACTACACCTTGCCAACAAATACGTGCACGAAACACATAACCATAGCTGGTATTACTTACGTTGCAAACTGGCCAATGAATGGATTTTGGAAGCAGTCCACTTTTCAGTGGACTTTCCGTAGCTGCTTGAAGGTCTCCCTACTTCAGCTGGTGGTGAATCGGATATTGTTCAGCAAGTGGCGCTGCAAATGGAGGCAAAATGATCAGGCAAACCGGAGCCGCAAAATGGACCAGGCAAAGCTGTGGTAGCAAGGGGAACGATTCTCCCCCTATATATACCCGGAGTTAAAAGGAAAAAAGAAATTCATTTCATGGGGCTTATGGGTACATGTATTCACTTCTGGGCATCCAGACAGACAGGAATCTATCGGAGGGGGGGGGAAATTCTGCCACTTTATTTCTCTTGGAAAATCCAAGGTTTTTTTCCATAGCTTCTTCGCGTTTAATATATGGAAAAAAATCCTTATCTGTTCTCTTATCTGTAATATCTGTATTCGGGGAACCGCCCAATTTTTATTCGTTACTGTGAGCCGGTTACGGTACAAGTACCGATACATCTCCCTTCTTACGAGTAGTTCCACCTGAAGTCACTGTCATAATTCCCACTGTATCTCATAGTTTCACATGCTTTGACATTAATGTTTTATTTAAAGAGATGGGAGAGATATTTTTCCCTTAATCAGCCAGAGACCTCTATTATGCATCAAGCTGTCCCAAGGCTGAAACGGTCCTGCTTAACCTCAGTCATGGTGTCACGTGCTAATGGACGTAATGAAGAATCAATCTAATCCTGACAACGATATGACCTCCTATTTACCTGGTCCAGGTAGTGATGGCAAACGGATGGCTGCACGCACAGAGGGTGTGTCCCAAGTGCGGGAAATTATGTCATTCATGCATGCTTCAAAAATAAGTGACGAATTTGCATTCAGATGCAGAAGGACCTTCAGGACGACGAGTGGATCAAAGTAGGGACAGGAGAAAATCGATGCAAACTCATCGCATCTGGTCATGAAGGATTGCTTTCTTAAATTCGAACCTTCGCCTGCGCACAGGTACTGTACATCGCCGATCTCTGGCGCCAGCTGGGGTAGGGAGAAATACTCAAAATGATATCTATAGAGAGACGTTCACAGTATCATACGCACTATCGGAATCTACATTCTCCAGCAAGCTTGTTGAACACTTGGTACTAGCACGCCATCTATGTATCATTGTAGGAACACATTAACCGCCCCCTTCGTGAAAAGATGACAGGTGAAAATAGGGAAGAAACACCTGGGTCTTGAAAATGCGTAGAGACAAGTTTTCTCGATTATTTCTCGACATCGCATACCTTGACTCAGATCGGAGAAAAGGAGGAAATGCTTTGTAGATCACAGAGAGAAAAGCAAGGCATGAGAATATATAATTCGTGGCGTTATATTTCTCGAAATCATTGCACTATATTTTTATACTATTACGTGACCTCCGCCCTCAATCGTGTCTACTTCCGTCGTTGTAGTGCTACGCTCGCTCTCATTCGACACAGGGGAAGGGCAGCGTCAACAGGTTTGTACCGTCCGTCTATACAATTTTTCCCTCTCATTTCTTCTAAATATATATCGCGTTTAGCAAAAGATCAGGAAATATAGGGTTACCAGTATTTCACTTTAGGTAGTTATTTCTTGATTAAAATTCATGTATTACGTACTCCTAGTTAGCATACACCTCAGGTAGGATAGGTCGTACCCCACTTGGGATGGGTTGTCCAAGACTTGTCCATGCCCTGAGGGGTGTTAAACTCCATGTTAACATGTCTCTTAATGATGCTCGAATGGCATTGTCCAGTATGCAAATGGACTCCTCAGTTGGCACGGACGGGTTTTGAATTCCGTGGGGCTATTTCAATACATGAAATATGGAGAGGCTTAAACGTTTGCTGACAACAAACATTTTGAGGTCATGTGTGGGGAATGCAGGACCGGCAATGTTGTGCTGAGTAGTTCTAGCGTCTAAAAATAAAATTTTTAATGAGGAGGTCAGTCAAATTCTTTTAAAACCGAAACGGGATCCATGTTTCATTTGCGCAGACTTCCTGTGCGTCCCACTCTTTGAAAAAAAACCCCCTAAAATTGTAAGCTTAAATCATGAAAATTATCGAATTGTTTTTGTGGTGTGCAAGCAGCTCCCATTTTAAATCGGTTGAAATTTCATAATTACTAGTCCGTAAAAAACGGGCGTTTTCGGCCACCATACGACATGGCGGCCCCCTTCTCCTGCATTCCCCATAGATATTAATGTAAAACACTTGAAGACCCCCGATAGGCTTAACTTTACAATTGGTACTCACACTCCTCGGGCAAAGGGAATATAAGATCCATGTATCTAATATATATAGACGATCGTGACTGACTGACTGACTGACTGACTAACGCTAATTCTAACCATGTTCCA